AGGTATACTGTGCTTTTGCCTATTAATATTTATTATTCAGTATATAGTCTAATAGCAATTTTATTATCTAGTGCCTTCACATAATAACCATAATCTAGTGATTTTGCCCAAAAACCCAGTATCTTTAAATAGTAATAATAATTGTAAGTATACTGTATTTTCGTATAACAAATTCTGATAATTATTTATTATATTATCTTCTAACAATAATATTTTATCTAGTATTGTCACCTCAAAACCTGGTATTTTTTAATAATAGTAGTTATTTTATGTATTTGTCTAATAATTATATATTTATTGTGAGATTGGAATATTTCTAGATAAAAAAAAAATTAGAGATCAAAAAAAAAAAAAAAAAAATAGAAAAGTACACATCATAGATGTAGTATAAAAGGGATGACTACGACTATTATGCGTGGGAAGGGGTATATAAAAATAGTTATCTATATTATCTCTTAATAATAACAATTTATCTAGTATCTTCGGCCAATAACTGTGGTTTACTATCCTCGTCTAAAAATCTGGTGCCTTCAAATGATAATGGTAGGTATATTGTACTCTTGCTGAATATCTATATTAATTATTTAGTATATAGTCTAATAGCAATTTTATTATCTAGTGTCTTTGTCTAATAGCTGTAATTTAGTGTCTTCACCTAATAACCGTAGTTCAATGCTTTTGCCTCCAAATCTGGTGCCTTCAAACGATGATGGTAGATATATTGTGCTTTTGCCTAATATCCATATTGATTATTTAGTATATAGTCTAATAGCAATTTAATTATCTAGTGTCTTCACCCAATATCATATACTGATTATTTAGTATATAGTCTAATAGCAATTTATTATCTAGTGTCTTTGCCCAATAACTGTGGAGCATTTGCTGACATAGCTAATAGTCGTCTAAGTTCTGAGCAGCATGAAATACTATGAGATACTGCACAAATGAACCTTGTACAGTATACTGATAAAATAACACAACAGATATTAAAAAAAAGAAAGCTTATTAATTTTAAAGTTGGTAATTTCGTAAGAGTAAGCATTCCAAGGATTGATCAATTTAGTATTGATTTTTTTGCCCTACTTTGCAAGATTTTAGAGAAAACTGAAGAGAACCGATACTGGCCTGGTAGTAAATTTGATATAATCAATGTTAGTTACTCTGCAGGTGAGATTGAAGCACTCGAAACTGCCATTATTCTGAACTTGATGATATTCCATCAAATCAAATATCTATTCGTGAAGCAGCAAGACTCCAGAGCATAGGGATAGTATCAGGTTCTGTTTGTAACTGTAATGGCTCATGTAATAATAAAAAATGCAAATGTAGGAAGGTAAACGTGAAGTGTACAAGCCGTTGTCATAGTGGTCATTCTTGTTTTAACAAAGATTAATGCATGTATGTTTGTTATAGGAAAGTTTAATAAAATATGGATTTAAATTGCAACGCAATTAAACAATTTATTAAAAATTTTGTTAAAATTCCGTATCATCATGAAATAACATCTTGGGCGTTAATTTGAGACAGAATTTCCAAAGAGCTAAGATTAAATTTTGACAGATTTTTAATAATTTATTTTTGTATTCGACTTATCTCTAGGAATTTTGTCTCGAATAACGCCTTGAGGTGTTATTTTGTAACGATAAAATATTTGAGCACGTGATTGTCGATCGTGCATCAGTTGACAACTCACGCACTTAAGGTTACAACCTACGCACCTCAGGTGACCGATCGACAGGCTACGTGCGTCATCTAAAAATCGGCAGACGCAAGGATACATCTGAGGCACAACATATATATACAAATTATAAATTTTATTTGACTAGTTCAAAAGTTATACTGAATTTCGATTAGTAGGTAGTAATCTTGAGGTGTATGGACTAACTCAAAATACGACTACTAATGAACATTTGATAATGTTTCAATATGCAAATAAAGGAAGTCTTCATAAGTTCTTATTATCAAATTTTAAGAACTTAATTGGAAAAATAAATTAAACCAACTTGTTGATGTATCATTCAGTTTAATGAAAGTTCACGAAGCATGATATGTTCATGGAGATTTTCATAGCGGTAATATATTGCAAAATCAATATATTAATGGAGATTTAATATCTTATATTACAGATCTTGGATTATCTAGAAAGAAAGATGAATTTGATTTAGAAGATAGCATTTATGGAGTTTTATCTTATGTTGCTCCTGAAGTGTTAATGAAAGATCGTATACAATAGCAGCAGATATTTATAGTATTGGTGTTGTTATAGCAGAAATGTCTATAGGAAAACCACCTCATTATGATGCTGAGTACGATGAAAGTTGGCAATACAAATATGCAATGGATTACGTCCTGAACTTGCTAGAGGCACCCTGAATGCTATACCAAATTAGCAAATCAATGTATGGATGCCAATCCTTCTAATAGACCAACTACATCTTATATCTATAATAAATTGCGTAGATGGTATAATATAGTAAATGATAGAACAGCAAAAGATTAAAATGAATTAACCATATTAAAAGCATTCCAATCAGCAGATGCAATTATTCCAACGTTATCAACCGAATTTCCAAATTGTCCTGAAGATAAACTTACAAGTAAACCGCTTAACTTCAAAAACCTTTCTAAACCAATGAATTCATCTGCAAAATTATTAAGAGTTTGTGGTAAATAAATATGCATATTATAATATTGTATGTCTTATTTTTTAAACGATAAAGGTTTTAATAACCGTTTAATTTATAGTGTTACTGATGGGACTGCCAAAGTTAGTTCAACAGAGAAGGCGAAAATGCGACGAATTGTCGCTTAAAATTCGTCGACGTCGCGTAACGTTACTCAAGGTATAGGTGAGGCGGGATCGATTTGGCAAAGGTCTAAGGCAACCTTTGAGCATCGTTACAGGGTAAGTGGATTTAAGGAACGTTGGTTTTATTTGTATTTTAGAGTCTTATTTAACGAATTTATTGGGGTACAATTTATTATTTATTAGGAACTTTTTTTTTGTAGGGCGTACTTCTCTACTCTTTTGCAAGGAGTTTCCAACCCGTATTTATAAGAATTACAACAAGAAGAAGAAATATTCGATGCTTCTATTACTTATTTTTCCCATCATCTAAAACCGATTTTGCTTAATTTACCCACGCTTTACTCCTTTCTGTAACTCAGCCTTCGTTATTTTAGCATTTTACAAGGGAAAGAGAAGGCAATTCTAAGAACGCCATTCCTTCCGGTTCACGATCCATTCACCAACTCCATCACGGCCACACACTTTACCCGACAAGGTAATATGATTTTGACAGCTGTCAAACCAAATCGGGTAGGTGGCTTTTCTCTATGGGATCGGCGTTTTGTTTCAGTTGAGGAACCCGGGCCCAACTGGTTCTATTACAAGAAAAATCGGTATTTAATTCTTCCGGCATCGTCGCACTTATTCGTACAACGTTTGTAAGGCCCCGCGTTGGTCTTGCATGGGCCTAGGGGGCGGTTTTTGCCTCTAACAATAGATTCTGGGTTATGCGATTTTTCAATTAACATTATTTGACGTATGTATCTAATAATTTAACCGATTAATGATAATGAATATTTCGTTCAAATATTTAAATACTTTGTTTTTATAAGGAATATGATTATAGTTTAATTTATATTATATTTAATAAATTTATTGAAAGATACAATTTGATATGAAATATAAGGTCGAAATAAAGCTTAGTTATTTGGGTCATTGTATTAGTTGTAAAAGCCAAGAATTCGGCTAGTGGAGTTAAAGCTAATGCTAATTGAGTTCGTTGTTGTTTTAATTGGTCAAAAATTATCTGATGCTTATTGACAGTACGTACGTATATTACCTTCAAACTGATTATATTGACAGCCTTTTTTAAGTTTATTCCTATATGCTTGGTATGAAAATGCCTTAGTAAATTTACATTTGTACTGTATGTATTAGACAATTCCTTTATTATTATATAGTGTCAATATAATCAGAGTTAAATATATTAAAAGCAATCTCAAAAATATTTAGGTTTACTATTAAAATTATAAACAGCCCAGTACTTTTGGCTCTCGAAAATTACAATTTGCTCTATTGAATTTTTGATACTCTAGATTAGTTTTTAAAACACTTTATTACTATACGTATAAAGATCACTGAGACATATTTTATTTAATATCCTAAGTTTTTAATTGATGTTGAACCTTTGACAAAAGCTAATTAAATTAGTAATTTTAACTATTAGAATGTTACCTATTAATAATATCTCGCGCTCCGTATAATTGATAATACCACAATTTCTGATTTACTATATTTAACGAAGAGTATAAAATTGTAACTTAAATTTATCTTAAATTTATCTTAAATCCAAAATTAAATTACATCCAGCTTATTGTATAGAAACTAATTTTTCACATAAAATAATATTTAACCAATGATTTTTAAGTTAGAGCAGAGTGAAGGAAGACTTGGTGTTCGATATCACCTCTGTAATGTCTACCTCCTGTAGAGTTTTAATTAATTACTGTAACAAAATAAATTTTTTCATAATGCTAAATAAGCTAATAATGAATAACCTGTTGCATTAAAGTCTTCTAAAATGCAAAAATGTAAAGGAATTTATGTGCCTAAAAAAAGGTTGCAAAAAAATGATGCTAAAATAAAAAGATTGGCTTATATAACATTTGAAGAACAGTTAGATTATCGAAATAATAAAATAATAAAAAGATAATATCAGCGTAAATGCAAAATAATATTGTCTAAATAGAGATTGTAATTAGCTAAAATTTTTCTAATTTAACAATGTTGACAATATAATTTAGCCGGAAATCATCTGTAAATTCTCGAGAAACGAATCATGCTCCAAAAAAAAAATATAGCATAGCTAGCTCCGAAAGCCCAAAAATAATGCACCTATATCAACGAACTTATGCCAAAAAATAGTAATAATTGGGTTTTATATGATCTTTTATCTCAAGTGGTGCAGATGATAGAAATAACGTGCAGACAACATTCTAATTATTTTGATCTAGAGATTGTATTCACAGAAAAAAAAATCGCTACCCAGATATTAGTAATAATAATATCCTGATCCGTTGGGTATTAGCGGGGCTGAAAGTCCCGCTAATTCACATACGGTCAGGGTATTATTAATTAATACTCCCGTGATCTTGAATAGTGATCGGGGTATTATTAAAATATCCAGTTACCCGGATAAATTATTATATATTTCTGATGAAATTCTATCAGGTACAATGTCCATTTTGATCTAACGCAAATTTTAATTTTCGTACAACATATATATGTGTATAACAATAACATAGAATATTTGATGTTGGCACCTCAAGAACCTTAATTTTGACTATATCAATTTGAGAACCAAAAAATTTACTTTATATGTGTCTTGTATAAAATTTTTGCTTATATTAATCAGAAAAAATAAAAGTTCAATGTTGAATCTCAAAGTTAAAAACAAAATTTTAATTCACATCTAAGTTAACATTTCTTGAGGTAATAACAAAAATTTTTATTTTAAGCACAATTTACAGTTAATTAAAAATAAAATTTCCGTCAAAGTTTGATAACAAACATATGTTCCAAATATCTAGATTTTTATTAGGTTCTTATTGTTTCAACTAGTATTTTACTTAGATGCAAACTAATTTAGGGTGTAATAATTATTTAGAATAATCACTATACCTAATATTCATATGCTTTATTTGTCAGCTAAAGAACGCTTTGCTATTAATTATACATGATGTATTGTTTTAATTAATATAACATATAATAACTTATAAGATATGTTTCAAATTAATTAAATAATTAAAAATCATTTTAATTTCATACGGAAAGATACTTAAATTTTTTGGTATGACATCAAGATATCATAATTATCGACTTACGGATATAAATCAACATAAACGCATTAGTGAGTCTTTTCTGTTACGTGGACAACTCTATCAGATTTAAGCCTGTTACGATAAGCTATGTTATTCCACGGTTTACTAATTATAGGTTCCAGAATTTTTACTGTTATTTTGGGCACAACTTAATTTATACTCAGTAGGGAAATAGCCTCTGGCTGTCAATTAATAAAACGAGAGAATAACACCTTTATTCCCCGTTACGGGGGAATGAGTACTATTTAATAATTTAATTTGTCTGATTCAGAGACGAAGTTTGTCAAGAGATTGGAAAAATCAACCCATTTTTTAGTCCTTGTTGGGTTTTACTATAGAAAGCAAATATTTGTCATTATTATGAACAATTACCTTAGATAAATATAAGATGTGAGCATTCAGGTATCAAATAAAAATAAGTTATTTTAATTCGAGTAGCTCCTATTTGCTTTTGCCTTACAATAGCATTATACGTATATTGCTTAGTGATATCGATTATACATGTAATACTTTTTCATACATAATTTTAATAGAATCTAAATGCAGAGAATTGTTTAGCTTTAAAGAAAAAAAAGCTTAATCACTTTCAATTCGATGCACATAGTATTTTTTAAAGTTTCTATCTTGTATTCGATCATATAAAAAATGATATTTTTCAATTATTCCGACTTTTAGTAAGAATTGCAGACAAATTACAGTGAAGCCTCTCTAAGTGCACCTTCTATAAGTGCACACCTCTAAATGCACACACAGATTCTGGCCCAAATGTATACATGCCCTCCATAAATGCACTATTTCTTATTGTTTTCTAAGTGCACGTCGTTATCGTCCTGAGTGCGTTCACTTAGAGAACAATAAGAAAAGGTGCATTTATGGATCATATATACATTTGGGCCAGAATCTGTGTGTGCATTTAGAGGTGTGCACTTATAGAAGGTGCACTTAGAGAGGTTTCATTGAACAAAATATATATCAAATTCTGCATCTAATAACCACAATACACTTATGGTTTTAGAATAGATGCTAATATAGTTTAGCCTAACAACTATAAAAAAAACTCATAATTAAGAACCACTTATACTAATATTGCTATTTCTCAACATTTTGATAAATTCTTCATTACCCGCCTATTATTGGAATGATGCTTATTTTATGAGTTAAGACCATAAGCTAAACAAGGACCAGACCATTATAGACTAAAAATTAAAGTCAGTTACTGTCCAGTCTCAAACTTCTCGAACTAAGGGTTTATTGCAAAAATTAGTAGAATTGCTAATAATGGGTGCCAGCAAGGATGGCCGACCCACCTAGTATCGCCACCAAAATAACCTATTGCTATATTAAAATTAATGATTAACACAATAATGACGATATTTGATTAATGTGAGTGCCTAGGGATGGGCAGGGACACGGAAAATGCGATTTTATTTATAGGATTTTCAAAATCCTATAAATAAAATCGCATTTTCCCCGTGTCCCTGGGGATGGGTTCGGTCGGTTATTATCGGCTAGTCGCTCAAAGTCGACTAACTATACATAAAATATAATTGAAAGTTCGATGACAGGTTTTTCACTTGATAGCATTCATATGTAAGAATAATAATAATTTACAATGAAAATTTTTGTTTCTTTGAATATTGTAATATTATTTAAAATAGAACATATGAAACTTGTTTATCTTTTCGAATTACGAGACCAAAAACAGCATTTCAAAATATACAACCTGCGTAAATTAAAGCAAAAAGCAAAAACGTGAGGATCAAATTTTAAATGATATTCGCGAGCAAAAAAAAAAATGCTATAAAATCTGAAGAGTTTGAATATTTAGTTTATGAGATGTTGAAGGAGAAAGAATATGTATATCGATCTTGATGTAGTTGTAGATATTTCCCAAACAGTTAAAGAATTAGAAGTAAATAACCTGGATGAAGCTTTTGCAAGTTTATTGTTATTATATTATGGTTAAAAATTTCTAAAACTAACATTATATTAATTTAGATATAATGGAATTTTCAATACAGCATCTTCTTATTACAGAAATTAATTACACACAAGAATGATCGATCTGGTAAATTCAGAAAACCAAGAATATACTCTTTGAGGTATAAAATTTTTTCATCATATTTCTATGTTTAAATAAATATATTTATTAATTTTATGTTTTAAGCGCTTTATTGTCTTGAAAAGTCTAACAATCTTCCCAAACAAAAAATGGCTTCGAAATGTTTAATGAACTTCAAACTATTTAAAAAATAGTAGACAACATTAAGATATTGAACGAGCAAAAAGCTTCTAAAAACTTGAAATGGACGTAGCAAAATACCTTTTACTAATAGATTAAAAATTCAAATTTGAACTTTATACATGTATTAAATAAAATTTGAATTTGAATGTAGGTGCATTCTATACATTTGAATTGAATGTAATTTGACTTGGCGATAATTAAATAATATATATACGATTCTTTTTTCAAAATCTGATTTTTGTGAGGTGCGTTAGGAAGGCCTGTCATCGGGATTATAAATTTATAATTTACTGGACATATTTTTTAAAAAAATCAGCATGGTGGACAATCGTAGCACAAACATTACACATTGACTCAGGGTCGATCTGTCCAATAAAAGTATGAAGTTTTCGATCACATGCACAATTTTTAAGTTTTATAAATAATTCGAAAGATTTTTATTTGCTAGATCAAGAATATTCCACAAATTAGCAGTCAGAATTTGATGAATTTTATGCATACCGAAAGTGTGTACAAGGTTGTGCTCCGGATGATTATGTGAGTTGAACAAATCTCGATTCCTTTTATCAATATCAACAATAATGATCTATGTTATAAAGTCGGCTCCTTTGCACTGCACTCTTAGTTACTATTATTTATAAGAAATAAAAAGAACTTTATTTTATTTATTTGATATACTAATAATTACGCAACAAAACATGAATTTATATTATAAAAAACAAGCTGTATTCTAGAAGATTTATTTATCCACTAAAAGTTCTTTAAACAACTTATTTGTAAAGAAAATTTTTCTTAGTTCTTTAAATAATCTTTAACGTTACTTTTATTATCACAAATAAATTATACCCAACTCTTTCTATAACGAACTGACGTACTGAAAAACAAGTTCAACATACTGTCATATATACAGTACTGTATATATTTATTGAATAAAATTATTAAGTTTTAAATTTTTTTTTTTTATTAAATAAAATACACAAACTATTAAATAAAGTTTTTTTGTTATCAAAAAAAAGTTTCTATATTAACATATTTGTCAAAAGAATTGACATTACAACAATATGTACAGTACGTAAGTCTATAATAACTGAGAAATTTTGAATTCCAAAGTATCCATCCGAACCGTCATCCGGAGCGCAACCTTGTACACATCTTCGGTATGCTATGTAAACATATCGATATAATACTTGAGCTACAATACTGGATAAGTATACCAAAGTTAACTGAAATTGACGAAATTAGTTAATTTTTTGAAAGAAAATATTCATATTTAATATTAATGTAAATTTTTAAAAAAAATTGCTTCGCAAAAATTGATATATAGAATATTATTTAAAATCCTTATACGTATCACATCGGGAATATTTTTTATATTCAGATCTGAGATAATTTTAAAAGTACAAATTACGATAGAATTTGAAGTTTTGCGATATATATATATATAAATTATATAAATTATATAAATTATTAAAGATCGAGTTTAAAAAATTACTCGATGCAGGTGATACGTATATTGAAAGCTTACTATTGGAAGGTTTAAATGATTCATTATGAATCCATTTTGCTGGCATGCTATAAATTCAACTAATCAAATCTTTAAATTGTGAAATTTTCGTGTTCTAAAGGAGGGTAATTGTAAAGATAATTGTTAGTACCAACAGAGGTCCCAAACATATGTGTGAAGTTATTGTAGCTTCAAATGCAAAGGTATACACGCACAGTATTCTTTGAAAACATGCGCAAATCAGCACAAAAGAATAGTTGTGAGCCAAGCACTAGTCACCAATTCCTTCAGGGCTTTGCAAGTGCCAGGAATGGTACTATTAAAACATTGTGTTCATGTTCATGTCCGGCTTCTGTGTTTATCTAATCTGTATTCGTTAATTTGTGATATGTATTATACAGGGTTAAACAGTTATTATATATAATATAAAAATTGATTAGAATGGCTTTTAAAATTGAATGAATTATTGCGGATTATAATCTCCGAATGCGTTTATTTATGCCTTACGCCATTATTTCACAAAAATAATTTATATGTTAGGAGGGTCTAATAGTACTATTAGTAGTAGTAATTCAAATACAAGCTATTATAATGACATGAATAAACTTGATTATAGTAGCTGGAAATGGAGTACAACTACAACTACAAATCTGAATTTTAATCCTTATATAGACTATGCTGCTGTATTCTTAACAGATTCTAATACTATTATATATATTGGCGGGAAAGAATTTGATAATGGGACTCTAAAATGGGTTGACATGAACAGAGTATAGATTAAATTTGACCTTATTTGGAAGTTTTTGATTTTTTTCATAAATTTAGTGTATTTTAATGCATTATCTTATTCAAACCAATATAGATTCTGACATTTGACGCATTATATTCAACTTGGGGAGTGAAGGTATTTATAAAATATGCAAAATTATAGGAATAAAAAATTAACATTTCCTTTAATAGGAGGCCAGTGGTGCGATTATCCAATCTCGAGTCGGACATTCAGCCGTTTTAGGTTGATTATTCAATATTGTTCACTTATTCATTCATTTATATATTTTTTATTTACTTTTAATCAATATTTATTCCTTTTTGATAGCTCAAAATAGAAATGTTATTATATATGGAGGTTCAAAAGATAATAAGGGTACATTTGGTATAGACATGCTTCCTCTTATCGCAATATTAAATACTAGTTCATGGACATGGACATCTATAAATGCAACAGGTCCAAAAAATACATATCATTCTGCAGCTATATATGGAGATTATATGATCGTTGCATTTGGTAACTTTAATTCATTTGATTTTTTAGTTACTCACTATATAATTAATCATAATTTTTTTCTATCCAGGACGAAATAGGAAAAGTTTACATAACAACGTTCATATTTTTGATACTCAAAACTACAAATGGATTACAATATTAAGCCAAGAAATAAGTCAAAATAATTCAAATACAAACTCACTAGCAATCGGACTTGGTGTAGGTATAGGTGGATTGGTTTTGGTGGTAATTTCGTTTGCTGTTTATTATAAATTTAGAAAGAGTCGGAATGGAGATACACTGTTAATTGGTAATTCAGTGTAGAACATATATTCTGTCATAGTAACCTTTGAAAATATGTCAAATCTCTCTCAATTATTGATTAAATTCTACCAGGATATACGTACTTATAGCCACCTTTCCTTAAATGTTTTGTCGACGAAATGTGCTTTTATGGAGGTATAACATTGTTTTTGACCCACCTGACACATTTTTATGGCCCGTTCTAAAAAAAAAAAAACTCCCGAAAGACCTTATCATGTTGTTCAATCAAATTTTTTACGGTACCAAATTTTATTTTTTTATTTATTTATATATTAATTTTAAATTTTTTAAATTCTTTTTATTAAATAACTATATCTTTAAATCTTTCAAATCTTTTAAAATCTTTGAATTTTTATGAATTTTTTTATGAATTTTGTTATAGTACGTACGTATTACCCTACATGTAATCACAAAATTGGTATATTGTATAAAATCATACCAATATATATTTTTTTTACAAAAATAAAGCCTTTAGTTAAAATAGGGTTAGGGTCAAAGCTAAAATAGAGTGAGGCTTAGTTTATATTAAAATTTTATAAAATTTTTTTTTTCTAGAATACAAGTGGTTTTTTTTTAAAAAAACACTTTATAATTCAAAAAATTATTAGTTTTTGCAATATATTCATTATAAAAAAAAAACAAAAATTATAGATCAATTCATGGTAT